TCTGTGACACTTGGAGTATCTTTCCCAGACCTGAAGAAGAGCTCTGTGTAGCTCAAAAGCTTGTCTCTCTCACCAACAGAATTTGGTCCAATAAAAGATATTACCTCACCCACCTTGTCTCTCTAATATCCTGGGACTGACACGGCTATAACCACACTGCATACAGGGTTATATCTGGCAGTATCATTAGTGCCCACATAGATGAGCAGCAGGTCGTGGTCAGAGGGACAGATGAGCCTCTGCAACCTTTTGGTATAGTCTCCTTCTCTTGGATGGGGTGGCTGGAAGTCTCCCAGTCTTGTGGGAAGGTGGCTTCTCTTCCTCAGCTACTGGGGTCTGCTCCTCACCTCCTGTTGCCAGTACAACATAATACAGTTCTTGACCTTGGGGGATGCAGTTCTAGATGAGGGATAAAGCACTGCCTACTGCCCAAGGTGGCCAGCAGCCAGAGTCGTCCTTGTAGAGAAGCCTTTTCTCCTTCCTCCTCTGGTGCTGCTGTAGTCATCTGTAGTTGGCTGCATTATGTGTTCGTCTATTCTTTGACTGCATTGATAAGACATTTAAAGACAAAACAGACATTTCTTTAGACCATACAAAAACCATTTTTAATGCTTTCCTTGCTGGTGCGGTGGCAGCAACAGATTATACTAGGTCAGCCTTATTAATGGCTTTCACTGATTTGGGAATGGATTCCTTTGCATCCTCCCAGTTCTTTTGCCATTGTTTTTTGTGTGGATTTATTATTAATATTGAAGAGGGTGAGGGGCCTGATCTTACTACCCTCACTCACATTAATTGTCCATACATAGGCATGTAACCAACCACTGAAGGTGAGATTGTCCCGAGCCATAGAATGGGTGCATAGCAGAGGAGAACAAGGGTGCCTGTCCTGCAAACACTTATGCCTGTGCTTAACTTTAAGCAGATTCGTAGTCCTACAGAAGTTAAGTGTTTGGAAGATCAGGGCCAAGGAATCTTCCTTTGCACCCCCTTAAGGGATAAGCACAACCAGAGTTCCTGGAGTGCAAGTTTTCCCATATGGGATGGGGAATAAGCAGGATCTTTTTTCTCCCCTGTCCCTCTGTGCTGGCCTATGAATCTAGCCCACTGAGGAGAGAAGTCCAAGGATGATGCAGCATTCACATTCTTCCTGAGGCACAGTACCTCACAAAACTGCCACTGGGGCAATACAGCTCCATCTCGTTTCCTACCCTGGGCTGCTAAATGCCACAACACAAGCCAGAGTGTCAATGGGACTAGTTGCATGATGGGTAAAGACTGATTAAGAAGAGTCCATGAGCCAGGGTTCCAGGATTAGGCCAAACATTGTAAAATTAAATTATTGTTTGCTGAGGCGCTAACATGAGAAAAAGTTATACCAGAATGTATAATCTATTATAAGCAGATCTGTGGAAAGCGCCTTGGCTTGTTTTTAAAAATTTATACATTTAACACCCAGACTTCATAAGATATGCCTTTCACATTTTCCTAATATACCGGAAAAGACTATGACTCTTTCTGCATCACCTCGGTGAGTAGAGGGAAAAAAAGCCTTCCTGAATTTGGCAGCACTTCTCAGTCTCTTTCGATTGCGATATTGTAATCTTGAGCCATTCATCGCACTGTTTCAGTTATTTTACCCTGTTCTTTCAACATCCTGCCTGAGATTCACAGGGTCTTTGTTGGGACAATATTTTTTCCCCAGGAGTTTTGACACTGATTTAATTGCATTTCCCTTCTACATACCTCAAGTAACCTCCCTCTTTCTCCCCCCTGGCCATATTTCCAGAATTCTTCCAATATTCCTCTGAAAAACTCTATTATGTATAGCTGTGATAAAATGTGCAGACACTCCCTTGCAAGAGGTATCTAGCCCTACCATATAGCCCTTGAGCCCCTAGGTATTGCATCATGAGCTGAATCAGTAAAACACATTGGGCATCAGTGTACTGAAGAAAAAGGGGCATGGATTATTGATGAAAAACCAGAGAATTCTATAGACATGAGTTCTTCTCTTGATACAGCTTTTATGTTGTTTGAAATTTATATTAGGTATACCCTGTACTGGGTAAAATACCTGAAACTATGTGATGGTCAACTCATGATTTCCCTCAGGAAGAAATATGGCCAGAGACTTTGGTGATGTGTGTTTTGTTGGTTGACTCACAATCTTATCAAACTAGAAACCCTAATAGGGGGATTTTTTTATTTTCATGTATTCATTTAGCTTAAGCCTTCTATGACCCAATCAATCACCCCTTAATGCCAGCTAGCAAGAGGGTTATAAAATATCCTGATTCGGGTATGTACATTCTGCTTCACCAAAGAATGTCATGTGATGCCTTAAATGAAAGCCGGGTCTCACTGCTCTGTGATATCATTGTGAAATGTATGTACAGATACTATGAAGCACTTGTGTTCTGAAATATGTTCTTAGACTCAGTATCACAGTAGAGATAGAGAAACAGGTTTTTGTCAGACAAAAGATGTTTATTCACCTTTCTCTCTGCCACATGTAAATTAAGCATGTAAGCTAACACAGTGAATGACCATTTACATAGGAAGTTATCAAAGAGATGTAGTCAGCAAGAAAAGAACACAAAAACAAGTGAACGGAGGAGTGGGTTATACTGTTTCTGAGTACAGGTAATTAACTTTGGGGATATAAGTAGAAGTCAAAGAAGACACTCCCTTATGGTGAACCTAGGAAGTAAATAGGCAGTGCGTTTACATTCATGAAAATAGGATTTCTGCCTGCCTTGATAGAAGAAGCTGCAAAAGGCTTTGGGTGAGATAAATTTCATTAGACAGGAGGTTAATCTAATAGATAAATTTAGTCTCTAGAAAGCATGCTATGATTTTGTTTTACATGTAATCTTTTGTTTCCAATGTCCTTCCTCACTATCCCTTGAATCTTGACTCGCTGGTAGTAAACTTATGCTTGCCTTCACTATAAATATATCTAAGTGCTGTGATATTAAGAAAAGGGCCGATCCTGAGATGAATCATACAAACTGTTGTGTACACTGTTTCCTTGGGGACAGCAGATGTGGTAATTTTGAGTAGCCAGTGTCAGGGGCTGGGTATCACCGGGGAATGCTTCAAAGGGAGTCATGGTCTGGGGTACACCTATTAACCTGCAAGGCAAAGTAAGGGCTGGAATAGCTCAGAGGAGAGTGCTTGGGTGGCTAACAGGCTGGTGTTGCCAAGGAGACGACACCCAGTTAAGTACAAGCATGTCTCCCTGATGCTGGTGGCAGGGAGTAACAAGGTGACTCAGTCCCCAAGAACTGTCACACCTCCTATGAACTTTCTCTTCTGGTGTTTAAACCCTTTCACAATAGGGTTATATTAAACCTGTACAGCTTTTTAGAAATGGCTAATATAGAGATACAATTCTGCCCACATGTGGCCCCCACTGAAGAAAATGAGTTTTATTTGGTTAAGGTCTACAGAGTGAGGGATCTTAATATACCTTACAGAAAGGTCTCATGTTTTGTCCTAATGGCATCAAAAGGCTCTATATGGATGCTGTCATACATGTACCTTTTGAAACATCCTCTTTGCTGTTTCCATCAGTGAATATAAGTCCTGGCTATTCTGTGAATTATTTGTCACAGCAAAACCACTGTTTTTTCTGAGCTCAGTAACCTCACTGACAAAAGTAGCTTCTCTTTAAATTCCTCCAATAGCACCATCTGCATTGGAGGTCTAGGGCAGGTTATGATTATGCTATATTGCAATGAAAGATTAAGTATTATATTGATTGAGTTTTGATGAGACTACTGTACTAATTATATTTATATTTTTAATGACTAGTTTTATTAGCAGTCAGTTACCACATAAGCTTTCTCTGCATTGTAAAATTAACGTAACCCTTAATAAAAATAACTTTAAAAATCAAAATGTTAGAGCTGGTTAACTTCAACTGTAGTTAGCATTTAAATCTTGTTTTGCATATAAAATTGATCTGCAATTAATGTGAAGTTAACCTGACAATTTTTATGAACTTCCCCCCCTGAAATATGGTTTTTAGAGAAATTATTTTGTAAAATGTCATTCACTTTCTCTATTTTCCAAAAGGCAAAACATGGAAAATGAAAGCATTTAAAGATACAATTTCAGTTACAAATTCACAGTTACCAGGTTAACTGCATCTTTCCTGGACTCTGAGCTGCTCCCCACCCCCAACCCCTTTAGGTCTCAGGCCTCAGGCATTTCCTGTCTCTTAGGATGGAATCATGCGGGTCACCTACTCTCAGACCAGGTTCTGGGTTGAAGTCCCCTGTGTATTGACAATGGTTACCTCAGCAGATCTGACTTTTTTGTCCAGGCCCTGCAATTCTGTTCCCTCCAGGGCAATGGCCGTGGTCATCGGTGATCAAAGAGCCAGCTTTAAGTCACGTATTATTTATTTAGAACAAAAGCCTTTAAGAGAAAACAGATCTTAAAAACATGGAAAAAGGATCTGGACATGTCTAGTTTATCAGGTGTTCAACCATCTTCCACATGGGGACCAGCTCCATGGAAAGCACCTAGCAAATCACCCCACTTCCCCCAAATCATGTCACCTTTTCACTGTTTATAGCCCTTTGATCTGGTAACTCCCAGCTTTGGCAAGACAAGGTTTGCAACTTGTTGGAGACAGGATCCTTGAAACTAACAGCTTGCCCCACTGTCTTTCAAGTGAGTGCTTGAGTGTTCTTATCTGAGAAGCCATTCTCTCATCTTCATGCACAGACCCCATTGAATGTGGGCATTATAGGTGCATAACATTCAACTATCCCTGGTATAAGTTAGATCAGTACAGTCACAGAAAAAATGCTGATAACCCAATGTACAGTAACTTCCCCTCACTGACCTGATAACCTCCAGTGTTCATAAAACTGGTATAATTCAGTATTCGTAACATTATTACACATCAGCTCCATGTATGCCACTGTGCTCTCTTCCTCTCTGAAGCACAAATAATAATTAATTCATTTTTTAATACTTGGCAGGGTGACACCATTGTTTCCTGTGACTCCTACGGTGTGATGAAGTTCTGGGATGTTCGGAGGGTAACACCAATGGTATCTATAGATGCGGGCCCCCATCCTGGCAATCAGGTGGTCTTTGACCCATCCGGTAGGATCCTTTCTTAAACTTGCCCTGACTATCAAAAGAAGTGTTTTGCTCTCAAAGCATTTTGTAACTGAGTTTAAAATTCTGAGGCCAGATCCCCAACTGGTGTAAATTGGCTTCAGTGAATCTATGCCTGTTTATACAAACTAATGATATGACACATATTTTAACTTGTCCAATTGTATTAATGCTCAGTTATTACATAAAACCAAACATTTACAATAATGCAAAAAAAATTACGTAAGTAGGAAATGCTCACTGTCTGAAGAAAACAGAGGGATTTCTTTCTTCTCCTTGTCTACTACTTCTTCATATGTTTATACAACAGTTGTGTTTCATAACCACCCATGATAAATCCTATTATTCTCCCTGCAGAGCCCCAGCATATTGAAATAAGTGGTCTATTATATACAAAGAATTGAAATGCATGTATAGCTCAACACTTTTTGCATCATCAGCCATATATTACAATATGTCACTAGCATTGTGACTGACTGCTCCTTTGTATTTTTAAGAGTGCCATTGTACAAAATGAACAAAAATAGCTTTGTTTTTACCTAGGACATTAATCTTCACTTTCAAGGGGCAGATAATCAGTTGTATCACAGTACAAACTTAGGTCCCAATTCTGGAAAACATTCCTGTTCAGAGCAACACTTTAACATGTGCTCAACTTTAAGCATGCACTTAAGTACTGTTGAGGCCAGACACAAGCATTTAAATCAAATATGAGAGAGTAGCACTTTACTAATAATAGTACTACAGTCATAATGGTTAAAAACCTATAGAATATTATTTCACTGAGTTGCTATTACTAGAAAATGTTCCATGGAACACTGTAGCATTTTATAAGGAATTTTTCAGATCTCTATATTCAATCACTAAAGAATGTATGACATGCATCCGACGAAGTGGGTATTCACCCACGAAAGCTCATGCTCCAATACGTCTGTTAGTCTATAAGGTGCCACAGGACTCTTTGCTGCTTTTTAGATCCAGACTACCCCGGCTACCCCTCTGATACTAAAGAATGTATTGTCATTTTCAGAAACTATGTTGACATTATACACTTTCCACTACTTCCACAAGTCTGAATTCAGCTGTGTTCTATATAAGAATATAGAGTTTAGAAAAATAGCTCACATTCTGCATGATGTGGATTTGAAGGAGTTTTGCTTTTTCATATCTGGAATGGAATGTAGGGGCATTTGTAAAGGAGTCACATCCCTGAAAAATGCAGTAGCAGTATTTTGAGCCAGATGGGAAGTTTCCAGTAGAAAGCTTATCGGCTTCAGATAGTCTGAATGGGCAAAATTTCCCATCATTTGGATAAAATCCAAAATTTTCTCTGCAGGAGTAACCACAACAGAGATGCCAAGTTGGGAAGAATGACCACAATGAAGCATAATTTAAAAGAACGCAGTCATAAGCAATAATAGACTAAAATAGAATATTACAGTATCTGTTATTTGTATGCTGGTAGTGCTTAGATGCCCTAATTAGGATTAAAGGCCCCTTTTTATTTGGCATTGTACAGAATGAAAAGGCAGTCCCTGTCCCAAATCGCTTAAAATCTAATCATGCGGCTTGTTCCCATCGCCGAGATAGCCGCATATAAAAATTTACATAAATAAAGTATTCTGCTTCTTGTAAAACAACGTGATTATACTTAATGGAAGATTTTTGTTTGATTTTCTTTTGCCACCAGTTTAAGATAGTTACTGTGGGAAATCTAATGTCAAGAGAAAGGTCTTATATTTTGGTCTGAAGATGGCAAGATCCTTTGTCAATATGACACCTGCTGAAAGGGAGTTCTCCAGTGCAGGGCTGCTACCAAGAAAGCCTGGTTTCTTTGTAACATCATTGGGAGGCACCAGATGGTGCTGCTGAAGATGCTCTTTGCTAGTTCTGTTTATCTGAATGTTACTGTTGGCAGAAGTGCTTATTGGCGCTGTGATGCAGTTCTTTTCAGAAGCTGAGAATATGAGCAGTAAAGTGATATTCATTTTCTCTCTGAGCCTCAATCAAAGCCCAATTAAGTTAATGGAAAGATCCTAGTTACCTAAAGTGGGCTTTGGATAGACCCCCCTATGCCTTAGTCTTTCTCTGATTGAATATCAACAGTAAAGTCTATTCTCACTCTGCCTGAGCTTCTCTCTCACTGGATCACTTTCTTAGGTGTAAATCTTGTCTACAGTTTAAACCTATGCAAACAAAATGTTACACCCTGTAGCGGGGTGGTCACCCACTCCTGCCATGAAGGGGTTGAAATCAGCCCTGGAAGAGGACTGAGACTGGGAGAGGGCTGCTGCTAGGAAAGCAGCAAGCCTTGGCTGATTGGGGAAATAGCCACAGTTGGGGCCATGCCCCAATCAGGCCACAGCTGGCCTGTATAAAAAGGCTGGGACCCAGGAGCTCAGAAAGGCTCTCTCCAGTCTTGGAGGGAGCAGGGCCTGGCTGTCTGCAGAAAAGGCACTGGGAGTGAAGCATGGCTGGGGAAAGGCCAGAGGAGCAGGGGAGCTCCAGGCTGGCAACTCCCAGGCTACAGAGCCTGGTCCTAGGCCCACAGAGGTACTGGGTGGTAGAGGAAGGCAGCTGGTCCAAACCCCCCGTGCCTATGATGAGTGGCTTTTACACTGCAGTCTGCCCCAGAGAGCGGGGGCTTGGTGATGACTGGCAGTAGCCCAGACTGAGGCAAGGGGGGGATTAGAGGGTTGGGGGTTCCCCAGAGAGGGGAGACCCAGAGGCAGAGTGTGGGGGTATTGCCAGGGGGCAGCACCCCAGATAAAAGGACACCGGGGTCCGGAGGGACACCGGCCGGCAGAGGGCACTCTGTGTTGGAAAGAGCTAATTCCCGGATGACCAGCAGGAGGCGCCATAGGGGTGAGTCGTTTTGCTGCTACACACCCCTATGCTTGCAAGTCTCATTCTAAATATAGTTCCAGGGGTTTTTTGTTTGTGAGGGAGAGGAACGGGAGTTTGAGAGAAACTACAAAGCTATCTTAAGGTGTGGAAAGTGAGACAGTCCTTGAGATAGCTAGGGCACAGCCCATTGTGGGACTTGATCATCAGGATCAAGCTTAATGTCAGACGTACAATGACATGCACATCTACTTAACGTTGTGCACTGTGAGTACCCCATTGGCTCATAGTTAAGCATGTGGGTGACTGTGCAGTATCGTGGCCTAACATTTCTGTGACTTATCCTTTATTATTAAAAACAGATCTGTCCTTTAGTAAGTAAGTTTACCACTATCTCCAGGTGTTTATATCTGTTCTCCAGCACATATAGACCACTACACCTAACATTCACAAACCATGCACCTGTCAAATCCCCTCCTTTCCTCATCAGCAACCCACCAACCTTGCAGCATATGATGCACTCCGGTGTTTTTCACGGTTGCCATCCCGCAAATCCACCTGAAAAGATGATGAACAGCACAGGTAATAGCAACTGTTAGTGTAAGGAGTGAGCACTACAGGACATTCTCTTTGAACCCTAAAGTGCACACACTACTCTCCTGTTGTGTAAGGAAAGACATTTGGGGTATGGCTGAGATGCAGAAACCAGCGAGTAGTACCAGGAAAATGTAGCACAGTTTACTATACCTGGCAGATACAGTGGGATGGGACGTTGTTTGTCCATTTACACCCAGTTTGGGGAGAAGGAGGAAAATTGTGCTCTATGTAAAAGAAGTGTGGTGGCTATATGATTTCTGCTGCAAGGTTTGCTGTGATGTACAGACTGCTGAGCTTTCTAAACATATGAGAGGACACTCTGTCTGTCTGTATTACATCAGAAAACACTGTTAAAAGAACACTACGGTTCCCAAGGCAAGCATTCAATAGTTAGGAAATGCCTGTATTAAGGTTGCCTGTCCAACATTAATTTGGGCCCCTTGTGCATAAGGTGCAGTCTTTAATTACATGATCACATGCAATTTTTTTCACAGGACCCCCTGCCCCATTTAGTGCACAGGATGAACTTGAGTGGGTTGCTATTCAATATTTCTTTTTATTCTCAGGATTCAATTTGTGGACCCAGGCATTATTTACTGCACACCATCCAAACCTTGAACTGAATAGAGAGTCATCCCTTATGGGCTTTTTTGTGCTGTTGTCATCATAGTTTCATTAATGCCTGTAAAGATTTAAGATACTATCTTCAGTCCACCTCTGTGGGGTGAGGTTGTATTATTATCCCCATTTTACACGTGGGGGATTGAGGCACAGAAATGAAAGCCAAAATGATCAAAACTGTCATCTGATTTTAGATGCCCAAATTGAGATGCCTAGGAGGTGATTTTTCAGAGTGCCTAGCATTTCGTAGCCATGTGTGTGTTGGACTGCAGCTCCTATTGACCTCAGTTGCAGTTGTGAATGCTCAGCATAGCTGCAAATGAGGCGAGGAACTAGAGGAAGGAAAGCTTGGTCCTGTGAGTGAGGCAATTGAATGCTGCCTTAGAGAACAGGCTTCTGTGCCTGCCTCAGCCAGAGTTCCTAGGTGAATGTGATGCTGAGCAAGTTACATAAACCAACATTTTCATAGGTAACCACTGTATGTTCCTCATTTTCTGGGTATCCATCTTGAGACACGTGGGGTGTGATTGCAGAGCATTCACAGTGGCAGCTTCTTCCACCTGCTCCTGTCCTCTAGCTCCCAGCTCCTATTCTCCCCCACACTCCACCTTTCCTTGCTCCTGCTCCCCTTATCCAGCATCTCCACCCCGCACCAACCTCCTGTTACTCAGCCCTCTGCATTTGAGCCTGGAAGCTTCCTCCTCCATATTATCGGGGTGCCTTAGCAGCCCACAACAGCTGGGAGGAGTAATTATAAGGAAAGTCCTGCTCAGACCTGGGATGGAGCATGCTTAGTCACTCTGTGCAGATTGCAATCCAGGCAGCACATAGGAACTGTGAGGTGATGAAGCATGCTCTGTGCAGATGGACTCTTCAGAGAATTTAGCTGCCAAACTCTAAAAAGTCTGTACTGAGCATGTACA